ATGCAAAGACTTTTACAATGACTTCCAGAATAATTTGACGTCTGTCTTTTAACCCCGCCACTACTACGTCCATGGCAGCACAGGCACATAAATAAACTCTGCGCTGCTATAGCAGTCGGGAGTCTGTTTACATTTTTTTCTTGTGTTAGGAGCTTTAAAGCCACCCTGTCAGAGACCGTCTGTTAGTGCGAATACCATTGGAAAATGGGCACTTGCGGGCATACACGCGCGCCACAGAGCGGCCACGAAACAAGTACGCCAAACGGTGCACAGGAAGTGACACAATGTGTTGATGGATCACACTATTTAAACCCAGCGTGCCTGTCTCCAAATTGCTGGATTGTCTTTCAGCTCCCCTGTGTTCCTGTGATTCCTTGCCTTGTATTGCCAGACTTCTGACCCGGATTTGTTCCTGATCGTCCTTGTTTGCTGCCTGCCCCTGACCTTGGACCGTTACTGGATTCTGCCTCTGCCTCATCCCTTTGTACCTTGCCTGCCCATCTGGTGTGACCTTGGCTCGTTTGACCCTGATTACGGATTAGAGCAGCGGGAGTTAAGTGAACATCCAACCACTGATCTCCCCCTGAGTAATATGAACCCAGAAGTGCTCATCTCTGATCACTTCCGGGTTCAGGGGTTTCAAACCGTCGCTGCTATGGCTATAGAAGAAACTTTGGCTGGTGGACATACACATTAACCATTAGATTTGTATGCAGTTTTTACTTTCTGGAGATCTGGACAAGACTGGACAATAACTCTACTCCTCATTGTTGGATAATCATCATTAGGCTGTATTCTAGATTCTTTTTACCTTTTGTGGCATCCATTCCCCCCACGGCATACAGGGCCCCCACTGTGGACTTCCTGGGTTTGGTTCGGGGGCTTTGCATCATTGACCGCCTTTCGGGTAGAAGATGATACTTCATGGCTTCCATCAGGAATTTCTGGCACTCCAGATCGTTGGCAAACATCGGACTGTTCTCCAGATCTGCAAGAAGCTAAAGCCAAACCTTAGTCAGTTATACACACAATACAATTTCTTGATAATGGATCAGTTTTTTCAGAAAAATCCTAATATTCGGAGTGATAGAACAAATCTAGACTTCTAAATAAATCCTGCATTTCATTTAGTCATTGGCTACTTTTTATTGTACTGAATGCAATGCATAGGGGTCTCTTTTAGGTTTTTTTGCTCAAAGGGGACGAAGCGGGTGTCATAGGGTGACAACGCTCCCGCTGCATGCCGGCCATAGACAGGCAATGGTGCCATCCTCATACAGGAAGTGCTAGGGGGATGGAACTTCTTTTTTTTTTTAAGATACTGCAGACCTGGAAACAGAAAATAACTCCAAAACATAAACTGATACAAGGTAAATTAAAACATATTTTCAGCGCTCTCCTCCCGCAGCGCTCGGCCGGCTGTCACACTTTCTCTCCTCCCCGCTGGGATAGAGCAGTGCCCAGCGGGGAGGAAAGAAATCACGGATGCGCCGATGTATTGGCAGGAAAATTGCACTTTCGCCATTTAGCCAAAAGGGCCATCTTTGGCCGATATGTTTCAGCGGCCGACATATCGGTGCATCCCTAATTCAAATGGTAGATTGCCCCTTGTACCACCTTGTTATGCAACACGACTATCCCAACTAGACACAGTATGTAGAAATTAATCCAAGGTTGCAGCACTTCAAAATATTTATTCAAACAACAACAACACACAAGTTGCACACAGTTGTTGTTGTTGAAGAAAAATGTTGAAGTGATGCAACCTTGGATTTGTTTATATACTGATATATATATACACCGAGTGGCCGGATTATTATATACACCTTTGCAATAATTTTATATATTAATAATACTATTAATTATTAATATAATTGATCATCATGAATCAATCATCTTCGCAGTATTAATTGCACGCTCTCTTGAAGTTTATGAAATGCCATATTGTGTGTGTATAACGTTCACCCCGAGGTAACAGAAAAGGAGAGCGGAGGTTGCTCATGTAATGGGGGAATCCTCTGGGCATTGGAGAGCGTGTTGATCTTTTTAAAAATAGATAAAAGTGAAGTACTTTGATCTTGGTGAGGAGGAGGGGGGAGGGGGGGCACGTCTTTTCTGCTTGTTTTATTATTTACTGCGGCCAATAGACGCGGAGGATATTTTTCGCTCCTGACTTTTAACATTTTACACTTACTAGCAAATCTTTTGATGAAACATTTAGAAGCTCTTAGAAACAGAAGGCGATTCAGTGTCCACAGAAATCAATAACAAAAAGAAAATCAATGAAAACCGAAGAGAAAACAAGTGTGAATAAAAAAAAAAAAAGAAAAAGTAAATCCAAAGAACTAACATATTGGGTCTGGGCGGATGGTGTCAGTCTGACTACACTGCCATGTTGTGCTGGAGCTTGGATCTCACTGGGGGTGTTATAGCACCCATGGCAGCATCTATATGCCTCTTAGTAGAGTCTTACTTGATGGACTCAGGTATATAAGTTATCACAGACCACTCACCCAACAATACCAGTAACATTTTATAGCTTTTTAGATCGCTAGGACCTCTAATTCTGCTCGGTAGGGAATTTGAAGGTGGATATATTATTATTATTATTATTATACAGGATTTATATAGCACCAACAGTTTGCGCAGCGCTTTACAATATAAGGAGGACATTACAATCACAATACAATTCAAGACAAGATGGTAAGGAGGGCCCTGCCCCTGAGGGCTTACAATCTAAAAGGGAGGGGCCAGTGATACATGAGGAGGGAGCTGTGTGGGCATTAATTGTTTGAGAACGTGATGGTTGAGTGGTTAGGTTGAGGTGGGATCGGCTTCCATGAAGAGACGAGTCTTTAGGGATCCCTAAATGCAGTCAGAGTGGGAGATAGTCAGACAGGTTGGGGTAAAGGGTTCCAGAGGATGGGAGAGACTCTAGAGAAATCCTGGAGGCGAGCATGGGAGGAGTTGACAAGGGAGCTGGAAAGCAGAAGGTCTTGGGAGGAGCGGAGTGGACGGTTAGGGTGATACTTTGAGACGAGGTTTGAGATATATGTAGACATGAGCTATAGAGGGATCCTAAAAATCCAGGTATATCAGTACAAAGGCTCATTCATTGTCTGCACGTCAAATGCAGGTCAGCGAATTGCCATTGACTTTTTATACAGCACCTAGTCCAAAAACTACCAGGAAAACAGAACTTTGAGTCTGTACTTTATAAAAAGAAGAGTGCCAATAAACAAATGAAGCAAGGTATGTTCTGTTTTAGTAGATATCTAAAGATTGAGGCCAACATATTTTCGGGGTCCGCAAATTAACCCCTTCATCAGGCCTAGAACACATATGGAAAATATAGCACATATCTAAACATTTGGAAAATACATTGGACCGTACTGACAAACACATTGACTATATAGTGTAAGAAGATACTGAAGATGTCTAACAATGTATTCATCTTTAAAGGAGAACTATGGGGTCAGTGTTCTTCCCCATAGTTCTCCTCAGGGTCAAGGAAGAACATAAACTAGCGTCCTCCCGTCACCCATAGGGAGCTACAGCTCGTGGCATACTGAGACCGCCGTAGCCCGGATGGATCCCGACATTACTGTAGAGATCCACCCAGCTGCGTCAGAGACAGCTTTACCCGCCCCCTCCCCCGTCCGTTCCTCCATTCAGCACTGGTGGATCGGAGCGGGGAATCCAGCCCCTCTCCCTGTCACGGCAGAGAGCTGTGACAGTATCGAGAGGTGAGCAAACGCCGGTATGTGTTCCCTCACTTCCCGATCTACTGAGCCGACCTGTGACAGTTTCATTGTCACACATCGGCTCGAACTATGAGGGGAGTGAAAATCACTCGCCTCATAGTTCTCCTTTAAAATGATTCCAATTTATATAAGCATCCCGCTAGGATAGAATCCTTCACATCATACAAATCCTAGACAAGCTGCTGTTGATAATATTATAACAAGTTATGGCATCTTGACTCTACAATCCATAAGAAGTTGTGAGCCGAGTCATTTCACTAAGGTTGATTTTGCAGCAATCTTATTGGCTGTTGACAAAATGTAGCCACCAATGTTGCAGTGTCGGTTGATTAGAGAAAACTTCCGTGAAAAATCAATCACATGGCTCAGTTATCAGTGCTGACATGGTAATCAATAGTTCTGTTGATAAAGTCTACCCTATGCCTACCCTACACCTAGCCCTTAATGCTAACCCTACACTTATCCCTAACGCTAAGGCCCTGTTCACACCTAGGCGTATCGAATATGCGCGATTCGCGGTAAAAAAAATGCGCGACAAACGCCCGTTTCCGAGGGCTACTTGGCGGTATCCCAATGGAAACGCTTGACAAAAACGCCGCAAAGAAGCTCCTGTACCTTTTCAGGCGTAGGTCGTTTTGCAGCGCGTTCAGACGGGCTGAAATACAGCAAGGCGTGAACCGTACCCATAGAAAACAATGGGACTTTCATGTTTGAGTGCTTTGTAGAGCGTTCGTAGAGCGTTGAACGCACTACAAAACGTACAGGTGTGAACCAGGCCTAACCCTACACCAGGGCTTAACACTAACCCTACTCCTAGCCATAACTCTAACCCTACACCTAGCCCTTAATTCTAACCCTACACCTAGCCCTAATGCTAACCCTACATCTAGCCCTAATGCTAACCCTACATCTAGCCCTAATGCTAACCCTACACCTAGCCCTTAATGCTAACCCTACATCGAGCCCTAATGCTAACCCAACACCTAGACCTACTGCCTACCCTGCACCTAGCCCTTAATGCTAACCCTACATCTAGCCCTAATGCTAACCCTACACCTAGCCCCTAATGCTAACCCTACACCTAGCCCCTAATGCTTACCCTACACCTAGCCCTAATGCTAACCCTAAACCTAGCCCAAATGCCTACCCTGCACTTTGACCTAACACTAACCCTATACTTAACCCTAAGGCTAACCCTAGACCTAATGCTAACCCTATGCCTAGGTCTAACATTAACCCTACATGTATCCCTAATGCTAACCCTACATCTAGCCCTAAAGCTAACCCTATATCTAGCCCTAACGCTAACCCTACATCTAGCCCTAATACTAACCCTACATCTAGCCCTAATACTAACCCTACATCTAGCCCTAATACTAACCCTACATCTAGCCCTAATACTAACCCAACATCTAGCCCTAATACTAACCCTACATCTAGCCCTAATACTAACCCTACATCTAGCACTAATGCTAACCCTACACCTAGCCCTAATGCTAACCCTACATCTAGCCCTAATGCTAACCCTACACCTAGCCCTAACGCTAACCCTACACCTAGCCCTAATGCTAACCCTACATCTAGCCCTAATACTAACCCTAAATCAAGCCCTAATGCTAAACCTACATTTAGCCCTAACACTAACCCTACATCTAGCCCTAA